AAGTCTACATTTTGGATATGAATAAATTGTGGAATACAGCAAACCAATAAACATAAGCATTTAATTTTAATTAAATATGGCCATTTCAAAACATGCCAAAATCGATACGAGTGGATTTTTTTAACTAAACATCTGTATTATAATCCCATTTATTTAAATAAAATTAATCTGGCAACTCCGAGTAAAAATCCCAAATATCATCAAAAATCTTGTAGGAGTCCATAGTACATCAGTTGTCTCTTTCTTTCGAACTTCCATGAAGATGTAATCATTCATCTTCCTTTAGTCTTCCGGCAGCTTTTATAACGAACGGGTGTTATCAAGAGTGAAATTGTGTTCAAAATATATATTAAAAGCATAATAATAATTCAAATGTCAATATATTTTGCGGAAAAATAAGAAAATAATCGAAAAAAAAATCATAATTGAAGCTAAAATGTGTCTACATTTTGTATGGTTATGAGTGTGTGTGTGCGTGAAGTCTAAGATCTTCGTAACGAAATGAGCGTGTCCGGTTTGCAACATCAATCGATTGTGGAAAGAAATACGTGTGCGTGTGTGTCGAAAAAAGCTTTCATAAAAAATATAAAAATTTGTGTGGAATGTATGAAGAGGAAATGTCTACAAAATTCCCTCCAGTTTATAGGTAAGATAGCTTTTCAACTTTATTATTTCCACAAATCTGATGTAGAGAATTAAGGGTTTATGTATAGGGTTTGGTGAATATAAATGTTATTAACTTGTGGTGGATTATAAATAGCCAATACCAAAGCCTAATGCCAAAATTGTGCACATTTTGAAAGTGTTTTGTTAGCATTTTACAATAGATGGCGCTACTCCCGTGTACTGTTTGTATGATATACGAAATTTTTGTTTAAGCGTATGTAAATCTCTGTATGTTATAGACGATCTTTGTACATATTTAAATGTTCATTAAAAATTTACAAAATTATTTAAATTGCATATCTTACGTTAGAACTTGTCAAGTCGGAATTGTTCTAAACTTATTCAATTTAAAAAAGAATAAATAAATCTCTATATCTATAAAAGAGGAACATGTTTGTTTGTAATTTATAGACTCGAACACCGCTGCACCCATTTTCCTGCAAATTTCCAAGTATACGACAACATCGCCTGAAAGTAACACAGGCTATATACATTTTTGAAATTCCACATGGAACTGGAGATATAGCCTCAGAATCGTAGGTACCTCTCAAAAATTAAGATTTTTTATGCACATATCTATTGATTGGCTATAGAAGCAATGTGTATACGAAGATGTGGACCTGTATGAGTAATTTTGACCGTATTTTGACGATTTTAAACACACTTTTCACCAGAATTATTTCAAACTTGGAGTTAGCAATGGGTGCTGCTTCCTGTGATAGAGAATAGCCCAAAACAAATTTACGTGTTCGTGTAGTTCCCATATAGTGGTACCTCCCACATATTTCTTTCAGAATTATTTCAAACTTGGTATTTGGAGTTCATAATGGACACCAATTTCTCTGGCTGTAAATGTCCACGTTTGAGTATAGCCTCATATAACTTTAATACCTGATATTCGGAATATTTTAAATAATATATGTATTTTGGAGGGAGCCTTTTTACTTGTTGGTGTTCAAAATTGACTAGAAATATAGATCCACGTTTTGGTATGCAGGATATAACGGTTCCACCGGTTTTAATTATTTTTGGAATTTTGGCCATATTGAGGCCCAAATTGTGGCATTGACCCAAATAAAAGTACATTCCGATATTTGGTATTTTTATGATTTAAGCAACATTTTGCAGGGGAATTTGGTATTTGATATTCGCAATAGCTTCCTCGTCCCATCTGATATTTGGTATTTTGATTTTTATAGCCATATTTAGCATTTGTATTCGCTACTCAATACCGAATTGTCTATATAGGTCCAAGTTTTCGAATATCCCTTATATAAGACACCTCCTGATATTCTTTTGATATTAAACATTTTTTTCAAAAAAAAAAATCCAAATTCGATGTCGCAAATTCCTAATAACAAAAAAAACATCATCTCGTTGCTTATTGGACTTCGGCACTTATAGTTATATTTTCATCGGCAATCAGGTTTCATTATCGATCAATAATTTGATATTTCCCACTTATAAAGCTAATTCCTGTTTTATGTTAAAATTGAAGATTTAAGCCATCTCAATATACTGCAGTTTTGTAATTAGCTCAAGTGTTTTAAATTTCGTATGTGGAGATATTAATGGTTACTACAGCCTATGACAAAAAATGACATATGCAGCCCCACGTTTTCGTATAGCCCTCATCTGTATTTTATTGATATTAGCGACATTATTCACCGGAGTTGTTTCGAATTTCGTATTTGAAGATCTTATGATCTTACAGCCTATGACAAAAAATGTACATAATTTTATAATAAAACGTGTATTAAATATACGTCAATCCGTTTGCAGCATCTACAAATTTTTGTCGGACTCCCCATAAAATAGAATTACATATACATTATCCAAATTTTCTGTTAAAATCATGATAGAGCTCACACTGACAGCTCCACATTTATCACCGCAAATCCTGATTTCTTGTATTTAAGAGGTTTTTGCTAAACTCAGTCCTTATTTTACATTTCAGGTTCTCTGAGGGTTGTGCAATTCCTCGCAGAAAATATTCAATAAAGGTTCATTATTGGTATAGTTATCATGTAGAAGTACCTGCTGGTTTTCGGTATTTGAAAGTTTTTGACCCCAATTTCATAGCAAATCAGCTAGAATTTTATATTTTTAAGTTTTAAGTGGGTTGTTCAACTCCTCTCAAAAAAAAAAAAACATTGTAGGTCCATATTTCGATTTGGCTGAATTATACAGGGTGAGGAAAAAAACTGCAACAAAGTCCAACGCCATATTTTTTACATTTTTTCAATTTTATTGTTTGAAAGCAACAAATATCGGAAATATTACCAAATTTTAGAATAAGTTTAGATTTGTTCGAATTGGTAACTTTTGGCACGAATTATTGTCTACAAACGGTCAATGAAACGATCACACGCCGCCGGAATGTTGCTCTGCGGTATCTTGCCCCATTCCCGGCGAAGCGCTTGCTTGAGGTGATCGAAACTTTGGTATTTCTTAGTGCCAACCCTGCTTTTCAAAATACTCCAGACACAATAGTGCAACGGATTGGTATCCGGATATTTTGGTGGCCATTGTGCGTTGGAAAGGAAGCGAGGAATCTCATTTTGTAACCATTCTTGGGTGGCGCGTGCTGAGTGCGATGGTTCTTGTTGGAATTTCCAAAGTCTGCGGCCAAAATGTTTGCATTGCCAGTATATTTTCACGTTAATATTCGGCATTTATTCTGATGCCACGGTCGATTAATACGAGCGGGGAGCGACCATCGGCTGTTATGGCGGCCCACACCATCACCATGGCCGGCGCTTGAGTTCTGGTGGCCAACCGAAGGTGCACATTTTTAGCTGACATCTTTGGCAAGTAAACACGATCATTTTGTTTGCTTACAAACTGCTGGACAACGAATGTTTACTTATCGGGGAAAACCAAATTCGGCAATTCACCACTTTTGGCCAAGCGAAGCTACTCTTTACCTCTTTTGAGTCTATTATCTTTCTGTTGCGGTGTAAGTTCTTGCACTTCTTGGAATTTCAATGGCTTTACCCCGAGCTCATTTTTCAATATTTGACGAATGGATATGTGTGGATATGCGATATTTTCAGCTCACGAGCCATTTTTTGGTCACTTCGACGCGGGTTTCGACCAAGTCGCAACTTTTGAACCATTTCTGCTGATGTTGCTGTTTTCTTCCGTCCACTTTCTTGACGTCGGGCGAGGCTACCAGTATCACGGTAACCAGCGATGGTACGAGACACAAAACATTTATTCACATTTAAATGCTGGAGTGCTCTAACGATAGCCACTTTTGGCTTTCCAGCCAAATATAAATAAATCACACTATCACGCTTGAATTCCATTACGAATAACTTTTTTCTGGAAAATTCTTACCAAAATGCTTTTGTACGCTTGTAAACAATATGATGAGCTGTTACTGGAATAATTTTAACAGCTGTCGGACGAGTGGAAACAGTCTGAAATTGGTTACAGTTTTTTTTTCATCTCACTCTGTATAGTGAAATTTTGTGTAGAATATTTCATCTTTTGATAGCTTCCTGCTAAAATGAAATTTTATGTTACCTTCGTGCGTCAATTCGGAAAAAACTCGAGGAAAAAATGATAAAAAAAAAATTTTTTTGAATAAAATTTTCGACAGAAATATTTTCCTATTTTTATTTGCAATATTACCTAAAATGGCCATAACGCGTTAAATGTTGACTTTAGAGCGTTTTTAGCTATTGTTTGTAATCTCTTTTTTAAGTGTGAATTAAGCAATAAAAAAATGGCCATAACTCCTTAAATGTTGAGTTTTCAGCATTTTTAGCTATTATTTGTGATCACTAATTAATCAATATTTTAAAATGGTCATAACTCATAAATAACGCCCGAATTAATATATTTTAGGGGTTATAGCCATATTTTCAACTGATTTTACCATAAATTTCTTTTGCTTCAAGGGATACAACCCTTTTTATTAAAAGTATCATCCTAATATATTTAAAACTTTTTATAACCATACAGCTCGATATCCTGTATTTTGAAAGTTATAACCCAAATTTATGCTCAGAGACTACTACTTTGGCAAATCTTTATAAGTGTAGGTCTGCTTCGGCCCCTCTATTCTACTAATTTCGTTTGCAGTTTTTAATGAAATTCCCTCAAATATTGAATCTTGGTTATGCTATTTTTAAAAATACCCTTTTTCCTATGATGGAGGATTTCGGCTCGGCCAAACGTATTGCCTTTGTTAAATACAAAAATAATTATTTAATTTATTTAAATCTCTCAAGATTATGTTTAGCTATTAAATCACAGTTTCGTGTTTAGTATTCAAGTATTTAAATCAATACTGAAATGTATTTTTATTTTTATTGTTTTTCAATAATATTTAAATTATTTACATATTTCACTTTTACTGGTATTGTTGCTTATTTGTGTCATGGTATAAAATAAATAATAGCTTAACATTACAACTTATAAACTATTTTTGGCACTGGACAATATTGTTAAAACAATTCAATTTAAACTTATAATTTACAATGCTTACAACAACAAAAAAATAGTCGTCTTAAGAAACAAAGTTTTAAACATAAATAACAAAAAATAAAAATTCAATACTTTTTAAGATTTTCTTAAGCAGTTAAAGTTCATTGGATTTCCGGGGGGAAATCGGGGAAGGGACTAAATAACTTTAACTGTCGTTCGCAAGTGATCCTGGGGCGGGGGCTGTAATGGAACTATAAATGCGTTGATTGGACTTTATTGCGATTCATTTGCAGTAAACGCAAACGTTCTTTGCCCGGGAAGAAACTACGTTGAGGTAAATTCAAGCCTCGTTTGGCCATGCGGAATGTGAAGTCAGGCAGTAGACAGGCCACCGTCGTCAGCAGGGTGAACAGCCATACGGGTATGGAGCTGAGCAGTTTGTTGTAGGCCCAATAGATGTCTGTGTCATATTGGCTGAAAGAGAAAATGTTTTTTTTTAGATTTTTATTTTTTACATATATTTAATTAAACACTTACAAATTAATCACATTGTATATGACGGTGGTTATCATAAAGGCCAGTATGGAACCAATTATTGTGACAATATACCAATAGCTTAGATATTTCGATTCTAGCCATAATTTCAAATTGCCCACAATCACCACCAGTTGTATGAGCAATGTTCCGAAACATGAGAACTCTGCCGTTTGTCCCACATTTAAGATGACATCATTCGTGGAGAATATGAAGAAGGCAAAATAGAAACAGATCAGGGAATGATAGACAGCATACAGGGTCCAGGCCAAGAAGAAGGGCCAATGTAATTGTTTATTGCCGGTGTTTTTCTTATACAGCTCAGGTTCCCTGGAAGAGATGAGGAGATTGTTAATAAAAAGAAATATAAAACAAGAAAAAAATAAGGAATTTGGAACATTAAAAAAAAAATAATAATAATAATAATAATAATAATAATAATAATAATAATAATAATAATAATTATAAACCAGTAAGGAAAAGTCAAAAGATGGGCGGGCCGACTATATGGTACCCTACACCACTATGCATATTTAGTAGAGCTCCCAAAACAAAATAATTTATTTGAAGTAGATCATACCATCTATCAACATTTGACTTTAGAGCAGCTATAATTTGGTTTCAGAGGGAACTAATATGTGGGAGGCATATCCAATTCTGAATCGATTTTCACTAATTTTGACGGAGATATTTTTATTTTTTATACCGAATAACATTGCTATAGATTGCATGAGATGACTTCGAAAAGGATTATATTATCGGAGTATATATCGGAGTAGAGTTCCACAAAATGGATACGTGCGTCTCGAAATTCACTCCATTTGAGCTAATTATTTGCACAATAAACCTAAAATCGGATTAAGGATATATATGGGAGCTATATCGAAATCTTAGCCGTTCTCGATAAAATTTGGCGAAGCAATTTCCGAGCTCTATAAGATATCTTTTACCAAAAATCATTTTTTTCGAAAGCACATTACAAATCGGATGAAACATATATATGGGAGCTACAGCTATATCTAACCCGATTTTTTTAAATTTGATGTACTTGCTTCTATACTGGATTCGGTCGGATGTACCAAAATTCGGGCCATTTGGACTGATTTAGGCTATTTGGGGCACAATTAACCCGAAATCAGTTGAAGATATATCTGGGAGCTATATCTAAATTTTAAGCGATCTTTATAAAATTTGGCAGATTTTTACGCATGTGAGAGACTTAAATACCAAATCGGATGAAAAACATATATGGGAGCTATAGCTATATCTGAATCAATTTTCACCAAATTTGATGTACTTACTTCTAGACTAAATTCGGTCGGATGTACCAAAATTCAGGACTTTTTGACAGATATTGGCCATTTGGTGCACAATTAAACCGACATCGGTTTAAGATATATATGGGAGCTATATCCAAGTTTGAACCGATCTTAATAAAATTTGACAGAAGTGTTTCTGAGCTCTATCTGATATCTGGTACCAAATATGATTGTTCTGGAGGGCATATTACGAATGTGAGGGACTTAAACACCAAATCGGATGAAATATATATAAGGGAGCTATGGATATATCAGAAGCGATTTTCTCCAAATTTGATGTACTTGCTTCTAGATTGAATTCGGTCGGATGTGCTAAGATCCAGGTCAATTGGGATGATATTGGCCATTTAGTGGACAATTAACCCGAAATCGGTTGAAATACATATATATGCGAGCAATATCCTAATCTGATCCAATTCTCACAAATTTTAATAGGGTCCGTCCATGGACGGACCAAACAAATGTTGTTTGGCAAATTTCATCTCAATCGGATAATAAATGCGACCTGCATTTTGTTCATAAGCATACATGGACAGACGGACTGACATGCATAAATCGTCACAGAAAGTGATTCTTAGAAGATCCTCAAAAGTAACTATGGGTCTATCCCGCTTTCTTCTCCACGTTACAAACATATGCACAAAGGCATAAGACCCTTACCACTAAGTGGTGTAGGGTATACATATAAAATCCGTTAAAAATTCTGTTAAAATCTTAAAAATACCAAATATAGGGAGATACCGATATATGGGGGCTATTCGAAGACCTCCATAGACAGTTTTCTGTCACAGGCTGTAGTATCTATTAGGAACATCAAATACGAACAAAATACGAAATACGCTGAAATCATCAAAATACCGAATATCGGGGGTACCGTTATATGGGCACTATACGAAGAAGTGGACCTACATGGCTCATTTCCTGTCTTAGGATGTTGTATCCATTACGAACTTCAAATACCAAATTGAAACAATTCCGGTGAATAATGTTGCAAAAATCATTAAAATACCGAATATAGGGAGATACAGTTCTTTGGGGGCTATACCTAAACGTGGACTCATATAGCCAATTTCAATACCAAAAGTACTGCAGACATAATGTACATTTGAGTAAATTTTACCAACCTACTTCAATTCGTTTGGAAGCTAGAAAGATTTTCACGGACGGACGGACCTTATTAGACGTAGAATTTTATGCTGATCAAGAATATATATACTTTGTGGGGTCTAAAATGTATATTTCGAGGTGTTACAAACTTAACATACCCTCCATACTATGGTGGAGGGTATAGAAATGGTCATAATTTGTTCTAAGAAATATTTCCACCCTCCCACTTACCTCATCAATGTCTCCTCTGTGTAGGGCTTCTCCGTTAGCGATATAAAGAAGATCGGCAGCGATGTATATATCACATTGTATAGCGTCAGGAATAATGAATCGTATACCGATGACGATGAAAATAGTGTATGGAATTGGAATAGGAACATAATACCCATAAAGAAGATATTCTTGTAGAAAAAGTACAGCACCAGCAAAGACAGACGCGTCGTATGATAATGACCATGCACCAGCAGTAGACGTTTCAGCATATTAAATTTGGCAAATGCAAAATCTGCACATCGCGCCGCCTGGCGACCCTCCTTACCCATAATACCAATACCAACATGGGCCTCCTGAATCATACTAACATCATTGGCCCCATCGCCTATAGCAGCGGTATTGAAATTTTCCTTCGCCGTCTTGATAAGGGACACAACTTCACTCTTTTGCAGCGGACTAAGACGACAACACAATACGGCCGTACACTTGATGGCCACATCTCGGAATTCATTTGGCGTTTCGCTGAGGGCCACTGTCAAACTTTTACCATCGATTAGCAGAGCACATTGACGACCCATGCCAAAGAGAATTTCCCGATCCAGAGCATTTAAATGCAACAGCATATCCTCTTTGCGCGAACAATCGATGATGAAATATTTGAAAGCATTTTGTGGGATGTGACCACAGGAAAGGGCAATATTTAAAGCGGTCTCCACTTTGTCTCCCGTCAGGACCCAAATTTTAATGCCAGCACTTTGCAGGGATATTAAAGTGTCGGCCACATCGTCTTGCAGGGCATCTTCAACGGCGGTGGCGCCCAATAGATCCAAATCTGAAAGAGATGCAGTTTATAATTTACGTTTTACGCGAATATATAAAAGTAGTGAAATAGCTGACTAACTGAGAATCCAAGTCCAGACGAAAGACAAATTTAGATATAGCTCTCACATAAATATACCTTCGCTCGAAAACGCTCAACTAAAATCTTGAAATTTTCCACGAGGGTCAGTCTGGTTGTGTAGGCGTGTGATAAGGCTGGAATTCTGGAAATTCGTACAAAACGGGTACGACAAGTACTAATATTTGTTATATGAAGGTGTTTTTCAAAATATGTACTAAGTGTGTAAACTGTACTAAATGATACTAAATTTCGAACACTTTGGTTTAGGATGAACGGATGAAGCTAGAATTGCGAATTTTCTTATTGGGAATCCCAGGTTGTGCCAGGTTTTGTTAAATAGGTGGTTTTGGAAATATGGACATAAAGTGGTTTGGAAATGGTTCCTATTTTTGTAAGATAAGTAGAAATTGGTACTAAATTTGGTATTGGGTGAATGAAAAGGGCTAAAATCGTAAAATTTGATGTTGAGTTCTCTGTTGGTATCTGGAAATGAAATATGAAGCGGGTTTTGCAAATGTGTAACATAATTGAACGAAAAGAACTCAATATCAACTTCGAGATTCCAGCCCAATTCCTTCACCTAATACCAAATTTTCTGTAATTGTACTTTTCGGTACATACATATTGCCAAAACCACTTCCATAGCTCAATCCAAATGCCAACAGAGACCTCAGTATTAAATATAAGAATTTCATCCCAACCCCTTCACTCAATGCCAAATTTAGTACCATTCCGGAGTTCAGCCCCATTCCTTTATCCAATACCTTATTTGGTACCATTTAGAACATTTTCGTACAAATATAGGACGAATTTCCGAAACCATCGCCAAATCTCAAACACAGATACCATCAGTAATCTAAATATCAAATTTCAGACTTCTATTTCTATCCCTTCACCCAATTGCAAATATAGTACAATTAGGTACTTTCCGTGCTATTATAGTACACATTTCCGAAACCACCTCCATATGTCCCGGCTACACGTGAACAGCGACGCTAATACTAAATTTCAAGCACTATTTATTCACCCAATACCAAATTGTACCAAATATAGTAATTTTTAGTACTTTTCGTACACTTGTAGTACACATTTCCAAAACCACTTTTTTTAGAAATCTACCACCAAAAGGGACCCCAATACAAAATTTCAAAATTCCAGCTTCAACCGTTCACTCTAAACAACCGTTCACAGTTCGCACATTTGGTACACATTTCCAAAACTAGCTTCAATTTTACTTTCTGACTTTGGTTCTCATACCAAATTTTAAAATTTTTGCTCCATCCGTTCATATGTATCCAAATGGTACAATTTTAGAAGTTTAGTACCATTTTAGAACTTTTAGTAACCTTAAACATTGAGTTTCCAAAAAACTTTGGTACATTTATCCATTACTCTATTAGTGACTCTCATTCCAAATTTCGGAATTCTAGCTCGTTCCGTTTGTCCAACACAAAAAGTATTTAGCTTTTAGCACTTTTCGAATTTTCAAAAAAAGCCAGCCTTATCACACTTCAATTAAAACTGACCCTCGTGCAAAATTTCAAGATTCTAACTTCAGCCGTTTCATAAACTCCAGATTCTCACTCCTTCAGTCTCGTTGCTCTACTTCTTTCCTTATGTAACATTCTAAGCTCAATAGTTCTGTTTTTGAAGTGATTAATTACTTTCTCTCACTTGTATTTATGAAAACTTTTCCCTTTGTTGTTTACATGTGTATGTGCTTGTGGAAATGGTTGTAATTTCGTTGAAATATTATAAAACATTCCTGATGTGAATTCTTTCATGCATATATGAGGAGCTATAAATACGAGTGAGTAAGGGGCCAGTGAGTCAGTTTAGAATTTTAAAGCTACTGGACGCGGTTGTCATTTCGTTTGAATATTATAAAACATCATTAATGAGAATTCTTCCACGCATAGACGAGGAACTATAAATACGAGCGAGTATGTGCCTAGTGATGCAGTTCAGTATGTATCGCGACTTGTAAAAATCGATTAGTAAAGAGGTAAAGTAAAGCTGTGTGCCAGGTAAAGTACAGAGCTCTGTAGGCTAAGTAGATTGTGAAGTAAATCCTATTGCAAATTATAATAACGCTTTGTAAGACTCGTAATATAGACGGATCCTCTCGCATATCGGCATAAAACAGAATCTACGCGGATTTCCAATTTCATAACAATATTTTTCAGAAAATCGTCATTCATATTGAAATTCCATTACTTACTATTTTCAATTTTCGAATAGCATTTCTCGCTCAACTCCTTGCGATTCTCCAAAGAACTATTGGCCTCATTTAGCTCTTCGATAAATTGGTTATATTCCTCATCATCAATTCGCCGGCGGGCAATTGCCAATGTTCTCAAACCCAATCGCGCGAAATCACTTATATGAGCATCAGTCTTGGTTACCATATCGGCCGATTGATTATTGCACAGAGGGAAAACATAGCTCTCAGCACCCTTGGTATAGATCCATTTGACATTATTCTCATCTTTAATAATGACACTCATTCGTTTACGATCCGAGGTGAATTCCAGGACATGCAAACGATCAAAGTTCATTTCATTGACTTTGCCCACGCTAAAGGGGCGACTGTAGTCCATATGGGGTGGTACAACACGTATTTTCAGGATTTCATCATCATCACCCAAATAAACTAGACCCAAATGGGCACAGGCCTCAACGAGGGCCTTCTCATCGGGACTGGAGGCCTGATAATCTAGGGTGCTGAAAAATATTGTTTATTAACAATTTTGAATAATTTTGAAAATCTGATAAGAATTGGGAACTCACTGCACAACTTGTTCTATTTCATTCTTCCGCCTTTGTGACTCTGCTCTAATCAGAATTGTGGGTTGACGTTGGAAATTAGGGGCTGCATACGATTCACGGGATGCTGTACTGGGTGTACGATAAACAACACCAGGAGATACTGAAAAAATATATAAATTTAAATTCCATTGTTGAAACGAAATTCGCAAATTCTCGAACTTCGAAATCTCATCCTTTGGTACGATTTCGTATCCTTAAAATCTAGAAAAGTTTAAAAAGAGAAGTGTCCTTTGAAACCCTACCTGGTTGTGTTATATACGCCTCCGGTGCTCCGTATGATTGTGAACGCCTGTGACCAAGACCACCACCAATTGCCTTAGCACCGGGCCCAGCACCATTACCAACACCACCATATTCGGGCAGATCCATTTCTGAGGTAGAACGTTTAAATTGCATTGACAATGGACGTCCCGTTGGAATGGTTTGTAGCGATGTTGGAAACATAACTGGCCTCTCGCCCACACCCACGCCATTGACCATTTCAAAACCCTGGGGTGGCACCGACATTGGATGTACCCTGGTGTGTGTGGCCCGGGCAAAATTTGGACTACGCTTAACAATGTGTGGCCGTTTGCGTCTCTCAACCTTTTCGCCATCATCCAGTAAGGGGTTGACATCAGATGTGGTCTGAGGGTTAATTGGTGTAGATATCACTGCTGCTGCTGGGGCACCATTGGGATCTGTGGACAGTGAGGTCTCCATTGCATTTACATCACTTTGTTGACTAGAATTGTGACTTTCTTCGGTAATGTCAGATATGGAATATTTGTTGGCCAGGGAAGGGGCTATGGGGGCCGTAGGGGTTTTTGTTTCACTTTCCAGGGGTTTGGATTTCTCCGTTTCCTCTGAGGAACCATTGCTGTTCATGTCACCAGCCACCTGTACGGTGTGACAAATGGCCAGGGCCTGGAAGAAGTTTTTCTGATCTTTCTGAAAATAAATTTGAGATTAAAATAGGGTTTTCCGATTTCCCAAGACCTAAAACTTACATTAAATTTATTAATATCAATCTGATATGATGAATTCTCCTCCTGCAGCCGGGTCTTTTTGTAGATAAATTTCCTTCCCGCTATCGAACACTGTTGAAAGATCATTTCGTTTTTCGTCAAAGTACCCGTTTTATCCGAAAACAGAATATTAATTTGACCCAATTCTTCATTTAAATTTGAGGTATTCACAATGCACGGCTGATCGGTATTCTCATCATACAGCTGGGTATCCCATTCCATGAAGAGGCCACCCAAAACCCGATGCATTTCAATGGTGACATACAACGAAATGGGTATCAAATAATTGAAGAGGATCAAAAATGATAGATAATCCTGCAGAAACTGCTTTACACTATAGCTATCGGCTGGCGGACCCAAATATGCCAGTTTGGGTATGACAAACATTTCCTCATAACGTTTCAGGAAATACAAGACGGTAACAATCACAATCAAGGCAATTAAAATGAAGATCAAAAAGCGATTGATATACATTTCACTAGAGGCAGATTTGTTGCGGGTCAGACGGGAGTTCAGCTGCAGTTTGGTGGTCATACCCGTGTATACGGCACAGCCAATAACACATTCTGTATTTTTCACGCGGGAACCACGTAACAGCACATTTTCAGCCGTCAAGGGTAGCACTTTGCCCTCAGGGCCAGCCAATTCTATTTTACCATTAAAACTATATAAATCAGTCTTGGGGCTTTCACACTCAATAACACCAAGTTTATGTAGCTGATCCACATCTACCATGGGCAGATCACGCGGCACCATGAGCGTTTTCAAATTTGATTCTCCATCCAAATTGGCGGTGGTTATAAAACATTTGCCATGTGGATCTGAGGAACGTATCAGCACCAGATCACAGGGTACATCACAGTCGCGCTCAACCACCACCAGGTCACCTGGTTCTACATACTGGGACTCTATGTGTTGTTCAATGCCGTCTCGTATCACCGTTACTGGAAAATAGAAATAAAGGGAATATTAGAACCAAATTTTTATCGGGGATAGTTTACACATAATATTAGAGTCATATGTAAAGTGTTTAGCTTATATTTTGCATTATTTATGGCATACTTTTGGGCGCTTAACTCTATATATTATGTATTATCCAATATAATATATTTATATTATGACAATATTATTAATTAATTTTTAGTGTGCCACAAAATTCAATATTTTTTAATGATTATTGGAAAAACACAGTAAAATATGAATGTAGAGCCAAAAATAGAAGGCACGGATATCGGCGTTCTGAAAGCTAACATCGCAAACTAACCTAAATTGAAGGAGAAATTTCTCCCCTTTTTCATTTTTTTTAAATTTTCGGAGTAAGATTCCTTGGAATCTTAGGGAGGATTATTACGAGGATGCGAGGATAAATTTGGTTGAAAATGTTGACTCTGAAGCGTTTCACCAAAATGCGGCCTATACAGACTATGTTCAGTCAGCAGAGGTAGAACCCGCTAGAAACTCTTAATACGGATTTTGATACAAGTCAGATGGAAAACTTGATCTAAATTGCCCACATATCGGGAGGTACCGTTAGATGGGAGCTATAGGGAAACCTTTACCTACTTCGACAATCTCCATTTTACGTGAAAAGTGTTTTCTACAATATTATAGATAACAATACGAGGATTAATTTGGCTGAAAATATTAACCCTGAAGTGTTTCAGCAAAGGGCTCATTTTGGTCCTTTTTCCAAAATATGTTTAAAACCCCCTTAAAACGGGATCGTAGCAAATCAAAAGATTTTACAATTTTTTTTTCATAAAATTATACTGCCCGGAATAAATCAAAAGCCTAAATCTTACACAAACGCCTAGGAACGTATAAATGTTAAAATCACACTTTTGGGTCACAATCGAACTACGAGTGTTTTTTTTTTTTTAAATCTCCTACAAAACATTATATTAGAAGGACAACGTCAAAGACGAAACAATTCCTTATCAAATTTTACTACAAGTCAACAAAGGACAGAAATTTTGATTTTCATTATACAGGGTGAGATAAAAAAAACTGCAAAAAGTCAAACGCCACAATTTTTCTTTAAATTTTATTGAATGAAAGCAAAAAATGTCGGAAAAAGCATAAAATTTTAGAATAAGTTTAGATTTGATCGAATTGGTTACCTTTGGCACGAATTATGGCCTTCAAACGGCCAATGAAACCGACACACGCTGACCGAATGTTGCTCTGAGGTATTTTGGCCCATTCCCGGCGAAGAGCTTGCTTGAGGCGATCGACACTTTGGTATTTTTTAGTGCCAACCTTGCTTTCCAAAAAATACTCCAGACACAATAGTCCAACGGATTGGTATCCGGCGATTTTGGTGGTCATTGTTCCCTGGAAATGAAGGGAGGAACCTCATTTTGTAACCATTCTTGGATGGTGCTGAGTCTTGTTGGAATTTCCAAGGTTTGCGGCCAAAATGTTTGCATGTCCAAGGCTTTAATACAACCTCCAGAATATGTTCGCGATAATATTCGGCATTTATTCTGATGCCACGGTCGATTAATACGAGCGGAGAGCGACCATCGGCTGTTATGGCGGCCCATACCATCTCCATAGCCGGCGCTTGAGGTTTGGTGGCCAACCGAAGGTGCACATTTTCCGCTGACCTCTGTGGCAAGTAAACACGATCATTTTTCTTTTGTGTTTACAAACTACTGGACAACGAATGTTTTCTCATTAGCCAGTTCACCACTTTCGGTCAAGCGAAGCAAGTCTTTAGCTCTTTTGAGTCTATTTTCTTTCTGTTGCGGTGTAAATTCTTGCACTTTTTGGAATTTCAATGGCTTTACCCCGAGCGATATGTTCAGCTCACACGCCATTTTTCGGCCACTGCGACGCGGGTTTCGATCAAGTCGCTTCTTTACTTTTCAAATCATTTCTGCTGATGTTGTTGTTTTCTTTCGTCCACTTCCTTGACGTCGGACTACGCTACTAGTATCACGGTAACGAGCGATGGTACGTGACACAAAAGATTTATTCACATTTAAATGCTGGAGTGCTCTAACGATAGCCACGCGTGGTTTTACAGCCAAATATAAAGAAATCACACTATCACGTTTGAATTCCATCAAGAATAACTTTTTTTCTGGAAAATTTTCACCAAAATGCTTTTCTACGCTTGTAAACAATATAATGAGCTGTCACTGGAATAATTTTCACAGCTGTCGGATAAGTGGCTTAGAAATGATAGGAGTCTGAAATTGGTTACAGTCTTTTCATCTCTCCCTGTATCCGTGATTCTTATACCAAATTTCAAGTATATGGATCTATCCGTTCACAAAATACCAAATGGTACAATTTCAGAAGTTAAGTGTCTTTTAAGAAGTTTTCGTAACATTAAAGTTCGAGTTTCCAAAAACTCTTTAATTCATCTATCCTACAGTCAATTCCAAATTTCCAATACGAAGAATTACATTTTTAGTACGTTTTAGTACTTTTCGTACATTATTAGTGAGAATTTCGAAAATCCCAGTCTTACCACACACGTCTACGCACCAATGATAATAATATATACCATCGTATAGTATATTATAGTATAGTACAATGTAGCGCTTAAAATTATGATACAAAAATCATGTCTCACAACAATTTTTGAAAATTTGAAATTCTCCCTCACCTGGCGAACAATTGACAATATTATCGGTCTTATAGCGCAGAATATCTTCATAGCCTTGTTTAGCTGCCGTCACTGCAATTACGAAAACCAATGGAAGCAGTGATGTCATTGGTGATACGGGACTGTCTGCAAAAAGAAACAAAAAAAAAACGTACAATGAAAATTATTTAATGAATACAAAAAAAAATTAGTAATAAAAACAAATACAAAAATTAAATTAAACAATTTTATCAATGAATTCATCGAAAATCAACAAAACGTTAACGTTTCACACACAAAATGCTGCACGTGTCTATTTATGAATTAAGACAATGGAATATTTCTTTTTATGTTTCTGCTCTTTAATATTCGCAGTGGAATATTCAAAGTTATTGTTTGAAAGAAATTCTATTGATCAGGGAAATAAATGGATGGGATTGGCTTTAATATAGATAAATATCTAATTGTTATATACACATTAGGTATGTAGGAAATGATTTAAAATTCTAATTAGGAGCAAAAAAATAAATATTGGATTTTCTTCCTCTTATGTTTTTCGTCTGTATTCATAATATGAACCAGAGTTACACGAATTATTATTTCAGAAAAAAATTTTATACATCCAAACTAAATATATGCTTTGGACTTAATTCTGTAATAAAATAACAACTATATGCCGACCTATAGTCGCAATGTCCTTGAATATTTCTTTCAAAATAAAAAATATAATTATATATTTTTAAATACACGATTCCCTAGAAGTCCTGTAAAAATCCATTTTGAGACCCATTACGTATCCAATGTGTGATATCGGCCAAGGAGTTGAAATCGCACTCACAAAAAGTCGAAATTTAAACAGGTTAGACTGGATCAGTCGATATTGACTACAGCGTCATACCCTCAGCCATTATTCCATTATTAAAACATATTTTGACTTCTGTTATGAATATTCAAACTCTTGACCTTCTATGGAGTAGGTTCCGAAGGAGTGGGCCAATATTGTTCATTTAGTATCGGACCTTAGTAAATACGAAATAAATATTGCGACGTGTCTGGTTTGGACAATATTGGTCGTTTCTTTCACTTCATATGAGATATGTGATATTTTTTTTTGAAAAATTTTAAAATGTGCGTGATGTACCAGATATAGTCGATCGAAGTATTCCATTTTCATACTTCATCTAATACAGACACAAATATTGGTATGGGCAAAATTACAAGAAAATCGAACATATATATGCGAAATCATAAATTACGATAAATTCCATATTCATCTCAAGATTCTGGTTGAGAGAAATATTTAGATAGAGCAAGTTGTAAAGAATCGCTGACTTGCTTCGCAAGTTATGACAGATAAAAAAGTATTAACAATTGTGAACCTTTGTGGGTGATGTACTAGAAGGGGTTCGCAGATATATATTATCTTCACAACAGAAGCAAACATTTTTGTATGTGTGAAATTTGAACAGAGTTGGATGCTTATTTCACATTCTTTGAACGTTTCGTTTTTTTTCTTCAAAATTTTGCTACCTATGTGGGTGAGGTACTAGAAGGAGTGCCCCGCTATATCTCATTTTCACAGCAAGTCTTGTGTTGGTAAAAATTATGGCATGGGTAACATTTGAAGAGAACCGGATGTTTACTTGGATTTTATGATAATTCTGGTTATTTAAAATGTGGGTGAGGTACCAGAAGAAATTGTCCGAACTCTATAATATATCTAGTTTTAATGGATATATTGAGATGTACCAAGTCTGAATGGAATCGGATGTTAATATCGCGTTTTATGAACTTTATGGATATTCAACATTTTGACCCTTTGTGAAGGAGGTATGTATCATCTTCACAGCAGATCTTGTGTTAGTAGAAATAATGGGATGTGTGAAATATGAAGAGAATCGGATGTTTATTTCGGATTTTATGATAATTTTGGTTATTCAAAACTTCAATGCTTTGTGGGAGAGGTACCAGAAGGAAGGGTCCGATCTGTACCATCTTTACAACATATCATGTGTTGATGGAAGTATTGAGATGTACCAAGCCTGACTAAATCTCATGTTAACTTCGCGTTTTATGAGCTTCGTGGATACTCAAAACGTTGACCCTTTTTGGGGGAGGTACCAAAAGGAGTGGACCGATATATTTCATCATCACAGCAGAAGTAGAAATAATGGGATGTGAGAAAATGTTTTGGTTATTCAAAACTTTGACCATTTTTGGGGGATGTACAAAAATGAATGGTCCGATCTCTACCATCTTTCATCTTGTGTTGATGGATGATAGAGGTTAATTTGGGCTTTTATGAGCTTCATGGATATTCAAAATGTTGGCCATTTGTGGGGTAGATACCAGAAAGAGTAAACTGTTATAGCCCATCTTCACGCCAGACCTTGGGTTCATAGAAATATTGTGATACGTGTAATTTGAAGGCAATCGGACTCTTACATCACATTTTGTAAGAGTTATAATTATTTACATTTTGCGGGGGAGGTACTTAATGGAGTAGACCTATATTGTCCATTTTCGCACCTGACCAAACACTGATGCAAATATTAGTATTTGCAAAGTTGGAGCTTAATCGGATTATCCTCTTCCTTTCTCTGAAATAAAATATATATATTTTTGAAAATGTAGACCTTTTGTGTGGGAGGTACCAGAAGGTGTGGACTGATATTGTCCATCTGTACACCAGATCTTATGGTGGCAAAGTATTAGAATGGGTGTAATTTAAAGACAATCGGATCTTACTTCGCATTTTATAAGAGTTATAACTGTTCCAAATTTTGACCCTTTGTGGGGAAGGTACTTGATGAAGTAGGCCTATATATTGTCCATTTTCGCACCGAACATAGCACTTATGAAAATATTAGGATTTGCTTATCGGATGATATTTTCTCTTCGAAAAATTGGATCTTTTGAGGGAGGGAGGGAGGTACCACAAGGAGTGGACCGATATTGCCCACCTCCGAACTCGATATAAGTTTGACAATAATAATTCCATGTACCAAGGTTGGACAAAATCGAATACTCCCTTCGAGACTTATTGTGCGCACCAATCAGCCAGACTGACAGACGGACGGGCATCTCTAGATCGACTCCAAATGTCCTGAAACGGATTTGGTCCGAGACCTACGGTCTACAACAGTTATTTCTATGAGGTAAGTTTTGGTCGTATCAAATGACATCTACCCTCTGTAGCCATATGGCTGAGGGTATAAAAATCTAATTTGCATATTTTGCGATTTTTAGATATAGTATAAACTAGTGGCTTAGTCCAAACTTAGTATTATTGAAAATGGAATCTCACTTGCTCCAAACTTTGATCTTCGTAATACTTCTGTAAAACTAGATCGACGAAGGACAACAATGGCCTACTCCTTGTGGTACATGCCTCACAAAATCTAGTTTTTAAGAAAATTGTATATATTGTTAAAATCGAAATCGAGCATCCAAGTTGGTTCTAACTTGGCATATAGTAATATTTGTATGAGTCGTAGATCAGGTGTAGTAATCTTAGGTGGATGGTACTAAAACTTTGGTCAAACCAAAAATTTTACATTTTTACTCTTTTTTTACCCTACATATTTGTCATGATCTTTTTCAAATAAAAATCTTTTAGCAATTAATTCCCCTTCAAGTCGCAACAAATGGATAAAATATGTGTGTAGTACAACAATTGATGAAAATTCGGGTCAATTTGCATTCACACACGTGAACATAGTTAAGACTCTCATAAAAGTATCTTCCCTTCACTTGGGGTTCAATAACCCACCTAACTCACTTAGGGTTTAAAAGTTCGTCACCCAAGTGTCAATAAAACTGATTTTTACTATCTAAACGGAAATGTTTACGCCAAGCCTAAGCAGCGTGTGTTCTCCTAATGTCATATAGCGAGTTTATTGTATTTCAGTACATTGTGAATAATTCACGGTCAAGGCAATGACAGGAAAACTTCACATACACATGGTTCAATGAATACAAGTTTCACGAGATGTTTTTTTCCTCCAAAACGTTAATGTTTTACACTTTAAGTGCAAATTTAATTTTGAAGAACAGGGAAGAAATCAATCGAATCAAAATTGGCAGTGGTGGTCAAGTGTTGCCGTAAAATAGTTGAAGCCACTTGATTTCCACTCAGAGACGTGGTACAAGTGTTAATTTTAATGTTTTTATTATTTCAATTAGCTTTTGAGAATGGTTGTAGGTTGGAGTAATTGTTCGCTGGTTTTACCAAAAAAAAAAAAAAAAAATAAATAAATAAAAAAATAATTATGCATATTTTTTTAGATTTTCTACTCATATTTTTATAACAAGGTAGCATCTATCAGGGGCTTTGTTACAGATACAAATGTGTGTATAGTTATATTAACTATATGATACCAAAGTGTTGTTTGTGTTTTTTACAAAAGGCAGGGTTCTTATCAAGAACTCTTTCACATTTTTTTCCGAAAGTCCTTGGATAAATATTAAAAAAACTATCAAGTTTCCACTATTTCGTCAGCGAAAAGTCCGCCTTAAATTTTTATTTAGATAAAACGTTATTCATTTTAAACTTTTTTTCTTTTGCACAAAAAGTCTTCAAAATCTTTAGTTTTGAATTTTTGCTGGAGAGCATATTGTTGAAGGCCCTGCACAATGGTTTCATATTTATTTTTTCTGGCCAAAACTATCAACTTCTTTTCATAATAAAAATTGGCCACCACTATATTGAATTCCTAGAAGCCAACAGTGACCTCAATATCAGGATGTCAGCCCTACCTAATACGGAATTTAGTAACATTTAGTGCAATTATAGTGCGAATATCCAAAAAAGCTCCTTCTGTCAGTTACAGGCACCAACAGTGACATCCATATCAATTTAATTGAGTAAACCTATAGTACTCATTTCCAAAATCACTTCCATATCTCAATGCCAGATCCCAAAATCGACCTCAATATCAAATTTGAGGATTCCATTCCATATCCCATCACCTTATACCAAATTTAGTACTCTTTGACACTTCTCCATATTTCAATTCCAGATACCAAGAGGGGCCTCAATATCAAATTTGAGAACTCCAGCCCTATCCCTTCGCTTAATACCAAATTTAGTACCACTTAGTACTTTTCATTCAAATATAGTAGGCATTTCCAAACCACTGCCAAAT